GCCCAGACCGATTTATTCTGAATGTGGAGGGAAACTGAGGGAACACGTTGGCAGGGGGGTAAGAGCGCGCTGGGAGCAGCCCACTCTAGTCACCGCGTCGGGCGCGGGAGGGATGCTAAACATCAGTGAATTGCGCGCCCGGGGGGCGGGGCCCCCCAGCCAGTGCATCAGAGGCAGCAGCGCAGGGAGCCAGGCAGGAGCTGGTCCGCGCGGGGAACCAGTTTAAAAACCAGCTCCCCTCATGGACCGGCTGCCTGTCCCTTGTGCTGCAGCGGGGTGGCAGCAACCCCCAGGCTGTGGGGATAGGTCCTGTACTGGCAGGGAGAGGGAAATGCGCCTGGTCTACAGCATTAGCCTCTAAGCTTCTGCTTCTCGGTTAATCGACTCCACTGATGCACTGCAGCTTTCGCTGGCCTTGTCTGTTTCAGATACATGATGGTGGACAGCGCCGAGGACCAGAAAACACACAGCCCTGTGCCCCCCAAGGAGGTGAGGGGAGCCACGGTGGCCATGGCTGCGGGGCTAACTGCAGGTTGGCAGCAGAGTGACAGCTGCCGCTGCCAAAGCCCTGTCCGTAGAGCCTTTGGCGGGCGGGGAGGGGGGGGGACTGGTCTGGCCAGGAAAGGTGGCACATGGGCAGCAGGGGCTGTCAGCATTACCACACCAGCCTAATGCTGTTTCCGCAGGAGGGTGCCTGCAGACCCCCGTGGATTCATCCTGCTTTCCTAGCCATTCTCCAGCCCCATGTCGATGGATGCCCCCTTTCCCAGAGCTCCCCTCACTTGGCACCCATTTCACTGCCTTCCTAGGCGCCCAAGAAGCTAATCCGCTACATTGACAACCAGGTGGTGAGCACCAGGGGAGAGAGGTACACAGACCTTAAGAAGCCAGAGAGCGAGGAGATGAAGAAAACTTACATCAGCCTCAAGCCAGCCAGGAAATACAAATTCCACTGACGAGCCACCTCTCAAGCCGTCGTCCTGTACCTTGCTGCCCGGGGATTTCTACACTCTGCTACCTGCAACGCACCCGCCCTGGGAGCCAGTCTGCTCCGCCAGCTCTAAGCGTGACAAGCCACGGAAGGGCCTTTTCAGCCACGCTGCTTGTGCAACCTTCCCCATCGCCCCTCCGCAGCCCAGAGCCTGCAACCGCTATGGCAAATGGCACCAACACGGTTGCTGGGCCCCCTCTGCCGTTCCTTGCACAGGGACTTCTAGCCAAGGTGTGGCTAGTGCAGTAGTGTGTGTAGTGGTGTGTCTCGTGCGCCCGAGTAAAGATGGCATGAAGCAGAGTGGGGTCCAGCCAGCACACGTCAGCTCCTAGGAAGGGGCACAGCCCGCAGGTAGCTGGAGACTCCAGCTGCACCCTGTCTGCCACACCCCGCCAGAGGCATGAGACGGTGCCTGCAGTCTGGCCAACGGCAGCTCCCTCAGCATGTTCAGTTCACAGCGATTGGGAACCCTTAGCTAGAAATTAGGCCTGGCCTGGCGAGCTTCCCACCCCTGCTGGACCTGCAGCTCCAGGCCGCTCCGGGGCCGGGTGGCAGCCCCAGTCCCGTGCTGAGCCGGGACCACAGACCAGGATGGCGTCTTGCTACACATCTGACCAAACTCCGGTCATGTCAGAGTTCCCTGGTGGGGAATGGCATCGGCGTCTGCCCCTGCTGTGCAGAACCCCCGGGGCCGCGCTCTTCTCCCTTAGCGGGCAGTGGGGAACCCAGCCCCCCTCCAGCTCCCCGGGTGGCAGCCCCAGTCCCGTGCTGAGCCGGGACCACAGACCAGGATGGCGTCTTGCTACACATCTGACCAAACTCCGGTCATGTCAGAGTTCCCTGGTGGGGAATGGCATCGGCGTCTGCCCCTGCTGTGCAGAACCCCCGGGGCCGCGCTCTTCTCCCTTAGCGGGCAGTGGGGAACCCAGCCCCCCTCCAGCTCCACGGACCCAGGGCTGCTCTCCCCCAGCCAGCATGCTGAGCACGGCCGTCATGCAGTAGCAGGCCCGGG